AAAAAAAAAAAAAGATTCTCAAAGTATGTTGTTGTTGTTTTTATGTGCCGTGGAGTCGGTTCCGACTCATAGTGACCCTACACAGGGTTTCCGAGGCTGTAAATCTTTACGGAACCGCTGGTAGTTTTGAATGGCTGACCTTGAGGCTCGCAGCCCGATTCGTAACCACTATGCTACCAGAGCATAGAACAAGGTAATTGATATGAAAGAAATACTAGAAAATATAACAGGCTGAGAATATTCATTGAATCACTATCATTTCATTTTAGTGTGCCATTTTAAAATAAAATATTTCATCTTTCTTAGCAATAATACTTCAACTCAAAGAAATGTTATGATTTCTGTGCACCTTCTTAATAATCCTTTATGCAGAACAACAAACACATGTTATGGACTATTTTCTTTTTATTCTTTTTAATAACATCTAACAGTATTTTTTCAATGAATGTTTAAAAACATTAATAATATTACTTGTGTTTTAAATAGGTATTAACCTGGCAGCATTTATCACCATCGTTTTCTCCTATGGGAGCATGTTTTACAGCATTCATGGAAGTGCCGCTACAACAATCGAAATACAAGTTAAAAAAGAGATGACGCTTGCCAAGCGGTTTTTCTTCATTGTATTTACTGATGCATTATGCTGGATACCCATTTTTATACTGAAATTTCTTTCACTGCTTCAAGTAGAAATACCAGGTACAACTCTTTTATTTCTTTTTGTAATGAAATAATGTCATTTGTGTGATGCTCCTCTAGGAAAAAAAAATAAGATCCTGTACACGAACTCATTTGAAGCAGTAAGTAGAGTTATATACAATTTAGGCTCTGTTCATTAATGAATCATTCACTGGCAGGAAGCTGTTCTGTTCTTTTCCTAAATTGCTGATAATACAACTATTATTGTTGTTGTTAAGTGCTGTCGAGTCAGTTCCGTTGACCCTGTGGTTCAAAGTGACCTTACAGTTTAACATGTTAACCCGCAGTGCTGCATCAAGACTCCAATACAATTACAATAGAGGAAAACGAACCCAAAAAAACTGCATATAAAGTGTAGAAACTCTGATATTTCCATACTAGAGTTGACCTAGAAAGTCAAAATGATGATAAAATAATTATTTCTTTTAATTTCAGAATGTTAGCAATGAATCCTGTAGGAGTTTAGTCTCTTTTAAAAATAGTAAGCTATTTTTAGGGCAATTTTAGATACATAAAAAGTGTACTGAAAGTACAGCATTCCACATATACCTTTACTTCTTCTCCTCATATATAGAGTATCTCCTGTTATTAACATCTTATATATTAATGTGGTACATTTGTCACTACTGATAAACTAACATTAACACATAATTAATAATTAAAGCCCAGAGTTTACATTAAGGTTCAACCTTTATGTTGCAAAGTTCTAACTTTTAGGTTTTAACAAAAGCGTAAACACACCTTAACAAATTTAAAAGAAGAGAAATCATACAGTGTGCTCTCAAATCAAAATGGTATGAAACTAGAAGTCAGTACCAGGAAAACAGTTAAAAATAAATTTTAAAATATTTGGACATCAAACAACACATTTCTAAATGACATGTGGGTTAAAGAAGTCTCAAGAGAAAATTTTAAAGATTTTTAGCTAAATGGAAATTACAACTTATCAAAAATTGTGGTGTGGAGCAAAAGTAGTGTTTAGGGGAAAATTTATAGCATTTTACAGCATTTTCATGTATTAGAAAATAAGAAATATATTAAATCAATAATTCTAAGCTTGCATTTTAGGATGTAATAAAAAGAAGAGCAAATTCAATTAACCATAACCAGAGAAGACAAAAATTAAAATTAGAGCAGAAATCATTGGAACTGACTGTAGAAAATTAGTAGAGAAAATTAACTAAACTAAAAGCTGGTTCTTCAAAAAGACTGATAAAATTGATAAACCTCCAGGCAGGCTAACCAATTAAGAAAAGAGAAATACAAGTTAGTAATACCATATATGAAAGAGAAGCCATCACTATTCAACCCATTGATATTAAAAAGACAAAGAGAATATAACGGATATCAAATCATTCTCAAATGATAACATACATGAAATTGAGCAATTCCTTAAAAAATAAAATTTACCAAAATTCACACAAAGAAACCAGATAATCTAAATTTGCCTATGTCGGTTAAAGAAATTTAAATCATTGTGGTGTTGTGGGATAAAGCACTGGACCATAAGGTCCGTTTGAACCACAAGGTCTGTGGTTCAAACTCACCAGCCACTCTTGGAAACCCTATACAGGGTAGCTGTGAGTCAGAACCGACTCAACAGTACTTACCAACAACAACCTTCTAAAACAGAAAGCACTAGGCCTAGATGGATTCACAGGTGAATTCTATGAAACATTTTAAAAAGTCATACCAATTCTCTATGATTTCATCCATAAAGTAGAAGTGGTTAGTGGTTGGTGGTTATGTGCCACGGAGTTGGTTCCAACTCATAGTGACCCTGTACAGGGTTTCCGAGTCTGTAAATCTTTACAGGAGCAGAAAGACTCATCTTTCTCCCATGGAACCTCTGGTAGTTTCAAACTGCTGACCTTAAGGTTCACAGCCCGATTCGTAACCACTACACTAACCAGAGCTCCTTAAGTAGAAGGGATATTTTCTAACTCATTCTATAAGACCAGCATTACCCAGATACCAAACCCAAATATATTACAACAAAGGAAACAAAAATGGAAAGATCCTCAAAAAAAATTAGCAAATTGAATGTTTAAAAATATTGCCACTTCTGACTCGTGTGTTATAAAATAGTGAATTATTCACCACAACTAAGTAGAATTTATTCTAAATATGCAAAATTCAACATTTGAAAATCAATTAATTCAATCTATCTCATAAACTTTGGATTATATCTCAATGTAAAAAAACACAAAAATCCTCACCACTGGACCAATAAACAACATTCTTATCAATGGAGAAAAGATTGAAGCTGTTAAGTAATTCATTCTTCTTGGATCAACTATCAACACTCATGGAAGCAGCAGTCAAGAAATCAACTGACGTATTGCATTAGGCAAATCTGCTGAACAAGACCTTTTTAAAGTGTTGAAAAGCAAAGATGTCAGCTTGAGAACTAAGGTGCGCCTGACCAAAGCCATGGTATTTTCAATAACCTTATATGCATGCGAAAGCTGGACAGTGAATAAGGAAGACCATAGAAGAATTGATGCCTTTGAGTTATGGTGTTGGAGGAGAATATTGAAAGTGCCATGGGCTACCAACAAAACCAATAGATCCATTTTGGAAGAAGTGCAGCCAGAGGGCTCTTTGGAGGCCAAGATGGCCAAACTTCATCACTCATACTTCGGACATATTGCCAGAGGAACCAGTTGCTAGAGAAGGATATCATGTTTGGTAAGGTAGAGGGTCAGAGAAAAAGAGGAAGACCCCCAATGAGATGGATTGGCCAAGTGGCAGCATCGATGGACTCAAGCGGGGCAATGGTAGTGAGGTTGGCCCAGGATCGGGCAGTGTTTCGTCCTGCCGTGCATAATAAGGTCACTATGAGTCGGTACCGACTCCATGGCACCTAACAACAACAACATCTCATAAACAGGCTAAAGTAAAAAAATAATATGATCATATCAACACATGAAAAAAAGTATTTGACAAAATCCAACACACATTTATGATTTTTTTAAAAATTATTAACAAACTAGACTTTCTCAACTAATAAAGAACACCTATAGAAAACCTACAGCTAGCATCATACTTAATGGTGAGAAATTACATGCTTTTTTCCTAAGATTAGGAGCAAGGCAAGAATGTTCCTTCTCACCATTTTTATTCAGCATTGTACTGGAATTCCTAGTTAATGCAATAAGACAAGAAAATTAAATAAAAGTTATACAGGTTGGAAAATTAATAAATAAATCTGCTATGGTCCTCAGATGACATTATTGTAGGAAATTTTAAAGAATTAACAACAACAACAACAACAAAATCTTCTGAAACTAATAAGAAATTATAGTAAGTTTGCAGGATACAATGCTAATCTATAAAAGTCAATTACTCCTGTATACTAACAAAAACATCGAAATGAAAAAGTCCTCAGAGATAAATTTTGATGAAATATATATAAGATCTATTTGAGGAACTAGAACCGTCTAATGAAATAAGTAAAATAAATAAATGGAGAAATATTTCATGTGCACAAATGCTTATAACAGCTTTATTAGCAACTGCCAACCACTTGGAAGCAATTAAGAAGTGCTTCAATTGTGAATAAATGAACAAACTGAAGTACATTAATATGATGAGATATTATTCAACAATAAAACATGCCACCAACAGTCATGGAAGAAACTTAAGTACATATTGCTATCTAAAACAAGCCAGTATGAAAAGACTGTTGTTGTTGTTAAGTGTCGTCGAGTCGGTTCTGACCCATAGCGACCCTGAACAGGGTTTCCAAGGCTGTACATCTTTACGGGAGCAGAAAGCCTCATTTTTCTCCCGCCGAGCAGCTGGTAATTTCAAACTGCTGACCTTGCACTTTGCAGCCCGATTCGTAACCACTACACTACCAGAGCTCCTTATGAAAAGACTACATACTGGATAATTCCAACAATGTAACTTGTTTTTTAAAGGCAACACTATAGAGATAATAAAAGATCAGTGGTTGCCGAAGCGCTTTGGAAGGGAGAGTTTGGAGAAAGAAAAAGATGAATAGGAGAGCATAGGAAATTTTTATGGTGGTGAACATATATATCTGTATGAGGCTATAATAGTGGATACATGACATCATATCTTTGAGACTTGCTTTTCTAGTGTCCAGTGTGTGTTTGGGCATGGTCTTAGACTCCCATTAAAATGAGGAGATATCTTTCTGGAATATTTAGAAAGCATTACCCTAGAGGTTTGAAAGATGTGTGAAGGATGACAGAAAAGAACACTTGGTATTTAAAAATAATGTACAGATATCCTGCTTCACTTATTATTTATAATCCAGTATAAGGGAGCTTCACAAAATTCGTGGAAATTTTTCATAATCTTTCTATTTCATTTTTCTACTTTTTGAAACCCTCTCATATATATTGACATTTTAAAATTTGTAAACACATAATTTTAATTGTTTTTTCCTCATGATTGTCACTGGTAGTATCTTACATTTTTTGAGCAACAAGAAGAAAGATATCACCAATCAAATTAAAATAAAAATCCAACTTTTGGGTAGTTACATGTTTACTACAATGATTTTTTGAGGTTGGGTTAGCTGAAGGAGTTTTGCTGAATTAAACATCTGTTCAAGTGCCTAAAACTACCATATATATATATTTTAAAATAAAATAAATAGTACAAAAGAGATGAATTAAGAACAAATCTACATACTCTGAGAAACATTACATGTGCTATCTAGTAATCACACATTTGAAAAGGTATGATTTAAATGCCAAACACTAAGGTTTTTCATAAAATGGAATCATGTTATAAGAATATGTAATTTTACTTTGTGGAAAATATTTCTACCTAGTAATATAATTTTGTTGATAATATATATTTTTTAAATAAACAAAAACCCCACTCTTCTGTCAGTTTGTCACACTGTGGTGTTTGTGTGTTGCTGTAATGTTAGAAGTGATGCCACCAATATTTTAGATACCAGCAAGGTCACTCATGGTACACAGATTTCAGCAGAGTTTCCAGACCAAAACAAACTAGGATGCAGGAGATGCAGACCACTTCTAAAGGGTTAGTTAGTCACAGAAAACCTTATGAATACTAGAAGAACACTGCCTGATATAGTGCTAGATGAGCCCTTCAAGTTGAAAAGCATTCAAAATATGACTGAGGAAGAGCTATCTGCTCAAAGTAAAGTTGACCTTAATGACATGGATGGAGCAAAGTTTTGGGGACCTTTCATTTGCTGATAGGACACAACTAAAAATGAGGAGAAACAGCTGTAAACATTTATTAATAATTGGAACATATGATGTACTAAGTATAAATCTAGGAAAATTGGAAGTTGTCAAAAATGAAATAGAACACATAAAGATGGATATCCTAGGCATTGGTGATATGATATAGACAGATATTGTCCATTTTGAATTTAAAAAATCATATAGTTTACTATGCCAGGACTAACAGATTAAAAAGGAATGGTATCACATTCATTGTCAAAAAGGTCATTTCAAGAACTGTCTTAAAGTTCAGTGCATTTTGAGCCAGAATAATATCCATATATCTACAGGGAATCCAGTTAATAACATTGTTATTCTAATTTATGCACCAATCAATAACTAAAGCCAAAGATGATCAAATTGAAGCAGTCTACTAACTTTTGCAGTCTGAAATTAATCAAACATGCAGTCGAGATGCATTGATGACTGGAATGTGAACGTCGTATAAACAAAGAGGAAGAAGCTGGAAAATAGGGCCCTGATGATAGAAACAATGCTGGAGATCACATGTTAGGAAATTTCAAGATCATTACAAATACCTTTTTTCAACAATATAAATGGCGGCTATACATGTGGACCACACCAGGTAGAATACACAGGAATCAAATTGACTACATCTGTGAAAAGAGATCATGAGAAGCTCAGTATTACCAACCAAAACAAGGCCAAGAGCATACTGGAACAATCAACTGCTCATATGCAAGTTCAGGTTAAAGATGAAGAAAACTAAAACAAGTCCTTGAGAGCCAAATTATGACCTTGAGGATATTCCATCTGAATTTAGACACCATCTCAAGAACAGATTTAATGCATTAGACACCAATGATCAAAGATCAGAAAAGTTGTGGAACAGCATCAATAATATAATACAGGAAGAAAGAAAAAGGTTATTAAAAAGAAAGGAAACAAAAGGCCAAAACTGATGTCAGAAGAGATTCTGAAACTTGTCCTTGCATGTTGTTATTGTTGTTAAGTGCCATCCAGTCAGTTCTGACTCACAGCAATCCTGTATAAGCTTTCCGAAGAGCAGCTGGTGGGTTTGAACTATTGACCTTGTGGTTCGCAGTCCAATGCTGATACACAGCACCACACAAAAAGCCAAAAAAAAACAAAGAAGGAAGAAAAAAAAAGAAAAAAAAATTTCAAAAGAAAACCGCAAAAAAAAAAAGCAAAAAAGAACAAGAAAAAAGCAAAAAACCGGAGTCAGAAAACCAAAAGGGACGAGCACACTCAGCATTTCTCAAGCAGAATGAACTGAAGAAAAAGTCAAGCATCAAGTTGCAATACTGAAGTATTCTATAGGCAAAAATTTGACACAGGAAGTATTAAAAAAAAGATGAAAGGACTACAAAGAGTCATTGTACCCAAAAATAATTGGTTAATGTTTAACCATTTCAAAAGATACCATATGATCAAGAACCAATGATATGACCATTTATCTTTCCTGCAAACACAACTATGAATGTGGTGGAGCATACAGTGGGAAAACTTCTCAAATAATATGAAATATCTTAAGTCAATGAGTTGCTAGACCTGGGGACTCAAGACCATAGTTTCAGGAGACACCATAGTCAATCGACATAACATAGCCTACAATATTCTACATCCTACTTTGGTGAGTAGCATCTAGGATCTTAAAAGCTAATGAGTGGCTATCTAAGTTATAGTTATTGGTCTCTTCATGTACAGAAAAAAACAAGAGTGATAAGATTGAAGATGCTGGAATCAATTAGTCAAATAGACTAATAAAACATGTGAACATCAGTCTCCATGACTCTGAGACCAGAAGTCATGGCTACTGCTCACAAGAGTTCTGAAAGGAATCACATTAGAAGTTCCTAGATAGAGTGGGAGAAAATGAGGAACAAAACACAAAGTCGTTATACTTTAAAAAAAAAAAACAGGATTACTGGTCAGAAAAGACTGGGAAAACCTGAGGCTATGGCCCTCGACCACCCTTCAGGTCTGCAAAGGAACTTACCCCAGTGGCCCAGCTTTCAGCCAAGCAATAGATAGGTATATGGGGGGATGGGGGGCAACAACACTAGTAACATATGATCAATCATTCAAAATCAAAAGGGCAACGTTTACCTAAAAACACATTTAAGAAGGACTGGGAAGGCAGTTGGAATAGAAATAGGAATCCCAGGGAGGAAATGGGATAGCTGTTGTTGCATGGAGGGGATTGCAATCATTGAAATGAAACAAGGTGTATGATTCATTGAATGTAAAACTGATTATCTTGTCTGTAACTTTTGCTCAATTTGCAATAAAATGTTAAAAAAAAATAATAATAATAATGCCAAGCAGCACTGAAGGCATTGATTGAAAAACAAGAATCCAGGAATTTCTGGAAAACAAATCAAAATGTTTCAGCAAACTGATGCCATGCTGGAGGCATTCACTTATCTATATATACCAAGAATTTTGAAAGACAGCTACCTAGCCAACTGATTGGAAGAGAACAATATTTGTGACCCAACAGAAGGTAGAAATAATCAAACAATATCATTAACATCACATGCAAGTAAAATTTTGCTGATGATAATTCAAAAGTTATTGCAGTCATACATCAACAAGGAGCTGCCGGAAATTCAAGCTAGATTTAGAAGAGGACATGGAGCAAGGGATATCATTGCTGACATCAGACAGATCTTGGCCAAAAGCAGAGATTATCAAAGAGATTTTACTTGTGTTTTATTACTATGCAAAGGCTTCCAACTGTATGAATCATAACAAACTATGGATGCCATTGTGAAGAAGGTATATTCCTGAACATTTAATTGTGCTCATGAGAAACCTGTGTATAGACCAAGAGGCAGTCATTAGAAAAAAGCAAGGGGGATAGTGAATGGTTTAAACTCAGGAAGTGTGTGTTCTGGGGTTGTATTCTTTCATTATACTTTTTCAATCTGTATGCTTGCTGGGCAAATAATGCTGAAAACTGAATTATAAGAAGAACATGGCATAAGGATTGGAGGAAGAGCCATTCAACAACCTGTGATATGAAGATGACACAACCATTCTTGATGGAAGTGAAGAGGACTTGAAATTCTTAGTTATGAAGATCAAAGACTCCAGCCTTCAGCACAGGTTGTACAAGGAGCTCTGGTAGCATAGTGGTTACAAATCAGGCTGCGAACCTTAAGGTTAGCAGTTCAAAACTACCAGCTGTTCCATGGGAGAAAGATAAGGCTTTCTGCTCCTGTAAATATTTATAGCCCAGAAACCCTGTACAGGGTCACTATGAGTTGGAACCATCTCCACAGTACAACCACCACCACCACCACCAAATGTAATGAATTCCTCACCACTGGACCAATAAGTAATTTCATGATTAATGGAAGCAAAATTGAAGCTGTTAAAGACTTCATTTTGCTGGGATATACAATCAATACTACTGGAAGCAGCAGTCAAGATAGCAAAACACATATCGCTTTAGGGAAATATACTGCAAAGGACATCTTTAAAAATTTAAAAGCATAGCTATCACTTTGAAAACCAAAGTGCACCTGACACAATCCATGGTATTTTCAAACGCTTCATATGCATGTGAAATCTGGACAATGAATAAGGAAGCCCTTAGACGAATACATACATTTGGATTGTGGTGTTGGAGAATACCGAAAGGACCATGGACTGCCAGAAGAACAAACACAAATCTGCCTTGGAAGAAATACAGCCAGAATGCTCTTTGAAGCAAGGATGGAGAGACTTTGTGTCTTGTGTACTTTGACATCTTAGAAGAGACCTGTCTCTAGAGAAGGGCATCATGCTTGGAAAAGTGGGGGTTTGCAGGAAAGAGGAGGACACCCCCAATGACATGGATGGGCATAATGGAAGCAACAATGGGCTCAAACAAAACAAAAATTGTGAGAATTACACAGGACCAGGCAGTGTTCCATTCTGTTGTGCATAGGGTAGCTATGGGTCGGAACTGAGTCAATGGTACTAACAATGACAATAACAATGGTACACTTATGTTAATAATATCCATTAAACGCTCCAGGAAAGAATCTTATTCTTTTGCAACATCACCACTCCTCTCACATACTGGAACTCGGGAAAGACATCTTGGAATCACACATAGACTTAGTATTTAATTATGTGACATCTAAGGGAAAAAAACAAATAGGACTTTAAAGGCGTATAGGAGGGTGGATACAAGAAAAAGGAGTTTTTAACCTCATAATCTAGGATAAATAGAAGAAACACTAAAACTTTTTCTTTTTTCTCTTTCAGGTACCATAAATTCATGGGTAGTGATTTTTATTCTGCCTATCAACAGTGCTTTGAATCCAATTCTCTACACTCTAACCACGAGACCATTCAAAGAAATGATAAATCAGGTTTGGTACAATTACAGACAAAGAAGGTCTGTTGGCAGCAATGGTGTTCAGAAAACATACGCTCCATCATTCATCTGGGTGGAAATGTGGCACTCACATGAGATATCATCGAAATTAATGAAGCCAACTCTTTTCACAGATCCCTGTGAAATGTCACTGATTTCTCAATCAACCAAACTCAATTCCTATTCATAAGGGACTCTAAAAACCATTAATCATTTCACAGGAATCCTGTGGGGTGTTTTATTATGGATCTACTGGAGTAACAGTGTACGATCATAAACAAGATAAATTATCTTACTAGGTTGTTATTTGGGAAAAAATATAAGTAACGACGATGCTATCAAGGGAAATCAATTATATTGATATAGTATATATACTAGGAATTTAAGAAGAATCTACCACTGAAAGATTCATTTATTCTTTTAGCATGCATTTATCGAGAACCCCCTCTGTGTATGCAATGCAATAATGTCCTAGAAGTAGATAGCAGAAAATCTTTTCAATTTGCAAAGTAAAATTGTGTTTAATTACAACAGAATATGAAGTTCCATCTGCAACAACTAGTATTAGGTAGAGCTATGTGTGCCATGCATATCAACAAACATAAGACTCATGAGCACTTTTAAATAAAATATTCATATTGAATGTGTATTTTTTAAAATATACATATTGAATACTCCATTTAGTAGCATTAGAGAAAACGTATGATTGTTTGCAAAATACAGAAATTGTTTTAAGACACTATCACATCATTTCAAATCTTCAAACACTGAAAAGTCAATATTAACACACTACTATTAAAAATTATACCCTGATATAAATTCAAAACAACACTTCTATGTCACTTCCTGCTCAGTTGTCTTTCTGCTATAAATGAGCACCATCAGATAGGAATCCAATTGGAAAGTACAAGTATTACAAAGGGGTGAAGCAAAACAGCTGGAATGAAGATAAACACATGGATCAATGGAATACGATTAAGAGTCCTGAAGTATCCCCTCACATTTACAGTCACTTGGTTTTCAACAAGAGTACCAGTATAATTAAACAGAGGTAAAAACAGTTTTTTTCAACAATGGTACAGAGGAAAATGGATATCCACCTGTAGAAGAATGAAGTTTGACCCCTACCTAATACCATATACAAAAATTAAATCAAGATGAGTCAAAGACCTAACTGTACAAATAAAAAGTATAAAGTTCTTGTGAGAAAACACAGAAGTATGTTTTTGTAGTCTTAGGTTAGGCAATGAAGTCTTAAGTATGACACCAAAATCACAAGCAACCAAAGAAAAAATAGGCAAACTGGGTATCATCAAACTTTAAATTTGAGGCTTCAAAGGGCATCATTAACAAATAACGACAACTCATAGAATTGGAGAAAATTTTATAAATCACATATCTAATAAAAGAGGTATGTATCCAGATACACGTATGTCCTAGAGTGTAGGATGAGTACTGGACTGCTAATCACAAGGTCTGTGGTTCAAACCCACCAGCCACGCCTCAGAAACCCTATACAGCATCACTAAGAGTTGCAACTGACTTGATGGCACTTAGCAACGACAACAGTAAAAAGAACTTTTATATCTATCAATATGTTAAAAAACAAATAAATAAATAACTAAATTTTTAAATGGACAAAGTATCTGAATGACATTTCTAAAAAAAAAAGATATATAACAGTCATGAAAAGATGCTCATTATCATTAGTCAAAATGAAAATGCAAATAATAACTAGAATGAGATATCACTTCTTACCCACTAGTATTTGATGTTGTTGCTAAGTCCCATAGAGTCAGTTCTGACTCACAGCAACCCTGTCTAAGGTTTTCAAGGAGTGGCTGGTGGGTTTGAACTGCCAACCTTTCAGATCAAGCCAACCTTGGAGTCAAGTGCATTACCCTGCAGCGCCACATCAGTACTCCACCCACTTGTGTAGCTATAACAAAAATATAGATAGTAACAAGTTTTGGTCTTGAATTGGAGAAATTGGAACCCTTTACACTGTTGGTGGAAGTGTAAAATTGTACAGCCATTTTAAAAAACAAAATAAAACTGGCAGTTAATCAAAAGGTTAAATGATTTAACCTAAAAAAAAAAAATCCAAATCAAATCAATTGCTGTCGATACCAACTCATGTTGATCCTAGGTGTTTCAAAGTAAAACTATGTTCCATAGAGATTCAATACCCATGAATATTCAGAATTAGAGAGGGACTTCAAAAAGTACATGGAAAACTTTAATTAAAAAATAGTGGAATTTTCCCATAAACCTTTTGAAGCCGCTTTATACTAAAATCTGTTGAACTATATGCATTTATTAATGAAAAGCTAAAATACAATACTTCAGGAACTTTATTTCAGTGAAAGGCTCACATGTACATGTTTCACTCTAAGGAAAAAAACAGTTGTCATCAGAAGATAAATTTAAGCAAATACTCTTGAATGATGATGCATGGAGGGGAATGTAATCATTGCAATGAAATGAAATAGGATAAGATGAATGTAAAGCTGATGTTCTCCCATGTAAACTATCACTCAATTCACAATAAAAACTTTAAAAAAAGAAGATAAATTTATCTTGTTTGTACCATCAGTTCATAAGATACTACTTTTAGCTGAGCCACTGGAATTTTTTGCATTCATAACTTAAATCTTTCGACAGGAATAAAATGTCTCAGGTAGCTTTAAATATACCAAAAATTTCTGAAACAATAATGGAATAAAAAACATAATAAATTTATTGAGTGTATAACTGTACATACTTCTTTTTGAAAATAAATTATTCAAAACTTCAATTCTATTGAAAGCATGCATTCCTTGGAGTTTTTTTTTGTTCTTATTTGAAATGATCCCCATAACAAGCTTTCTACATGAGGAAAGTAGTACACTTTAAATAAAATTAAAAAAATAATACAAAGTCATAGATATATTTATAATATTCAGTGTTATAACTATTAAAGAGTTCTGGTGTGGCACTGTAGGATAAGCAGTTCAAACCCACCAGCCACTCCTCAGAAACCCTAGAAACTAGGGTCGCTATAAGTCAAAACTGACTCAATAGCACTTAGCAACTACAACAATGAGACTGAACAGACTCATTGGTACTTAATAACAACAACAACAAAACTATTTCAAACCCATTTCAAACCCTATGGTGACCGCACGTGTTAAGTGTAGAATGACTCTGTAGGACTTTTTTGGCTGCAATCTTTCTTACTGGCCATTGGGTGGGGTTCAAACTGCCAATCCAATGTATTACAATACAGTTATACAACTAAATATATAAATGCTTAGACTATAACAATGCAATCTACCGAAGCAGTCTGACTACAGGCCAGAGTGTCCATCAAACCGTCCAGTCAAGGAAAGTGGGCATGACTTTCACTCTAGAAAGGCCACATCTCTGCTCTCAGCTCTGAGCAGCGCACTGACTCTGACCAGGAGCCCCTGTGTGACTATAGCCTTCCCATCACCCACTGGCATACATCAAAGTGAAACACACCATTGCTGAAGGATTGAGTTGTGCCACCCTCAAGCTTGTTGGGGTGGGGAGCATAGTCAGAAATAATCAGGCGTCCGTTCTCATCCTTGTGATTCTGTCATGCCAAGTGCTCTGCATCTTATTTGCTTAATTTTTTTTTTTTTTTTAGATCCACTCATTAAAGCTCAAAAACTATTTCACAAGGAATTTTGTCAAAGTAAGCTTCTAAAAAATGAATTCTGTTAAAACAAAAAGTTTACCAAAAATGAAGATAATATATTTGAATTATTTTATAATGTGGTGGTGGTGGTGGTTAGGTGCCAGCATGTTAGTTTCAACTCACAGAGACCCCATGCAAAACAGAACAAAACACTGCCTGGTCCAACCATTCTCAATTGTTTGAGTCCATTGTTGCTGCCACTGAGTCAATCCATCTTGACAGGGAGCTTCCCCTTTTTCAATGACACTCTACTTTGCAAAGCATGATGTCCTTTTCCAGGGTCTGACTAATCTTTCCTGAGATGTCCAAAGTACGAGACTCACCATCTTCACTTCTAAGGAACATTCTGGCTGTACATCTTCTTTCAAGACAGATTTCTTTGTTCTTCTGGCATAACCTTTTCCAGGAACTGGTCTTTCCTAATATATCCAAAGTGCGAGATATGAAGTCATGCCATCCTCACTTCCAAGGAGCTTTCTGATTGTACTTCTTCCAAAACAACTTTCTTTGTTCTGGCAATCAATGGGACTTTCAATATTATTCACCAACATCATAATTCAGATGAACCCATTCTACTATGCTTTTCTTTAATCATTTTCCTACTTTCACATGCATAGGTGGCGATTGAAAATACCATGGCTTAGGACAGTTGCAATTTAGTCCTCAAAGTGACATCTTTGTTCTTTAACACTTAAAGGTCTTTTGCAGCAAGTTCACCTAATGCGATATGTTGTTTGATATCTTGACTGCCACTTCCATTA